TTATTAAGACCAGTATAGTCTAAAAACTGCAAGACTGGTACCACGCTACATCACCACACGGTCAGCATCAATTATGACCTGCAATACCTCCGACCACCATCTAATGCATCAATGACGATCACTCAACTAACCTCAACCTACGATAAAGTAATTGGCTCCTATGCACCTCCCTCCATGACCACAGAGAGGTCCACCTCACCCAAAGTAGCTCAGTTATGTACAGAGAACAACCAGAAACTTCCTCAGGATTCTCAGAAGCATCAAGTACAAACAGTTAGAATACATCACTGGCCGACTCTATGGATGCTGTCAGGGTGGCAAAGACCTCTTTTTAGCCAAGACTCAACAATCTTGATCAATGACAAATGATCAAACTGAGCTCAAAACTGGGGTTACAAACGTTCTCTCCTCTTCCTCCTCTACTGTTGCCAGTTAGCTATAAACTAGGGTGATAGAACTAGTGAAGTGCTTGAAATAGGCAGTACCACGGGATTCACCTCTCAAAGTATGTAATGCACACAAAACCCAAAACCAACCAAACAAAAAAACACCAAACCAAAACAAAAAAGGGGCTCTGTGTAACTGAAAGAACGAGATGTTTAAGGTCTAGTAAAGACAACCCATGGTTTCAGCATGCACTGAATACACTACTAAACTGAAACACTCAAACAATCTAAAATTGTCTAACCAAATCTCTCTTCTGTTCTCCACACTTTTATTTTCCATTCTGAGATGCTATAGTTTCCTTTGCATTTTTATTATTATACATATTTCAAAATTATTTAATGAGTCAATATGAGAATCTGATTTTTGCACCAACCACTTCAAAACAGTTGCACACATTAACAAGCGTTACTGCAAGTAATGATGATCTCTGTTAAGAGCAGATAGGTTGTTTCTCTCCATCTCTCCAATACAGCCTTGGGGGTGGAGGTGGTGGCGTGCATTTTTTTGGGTTTGTTTTATTTAAAACAACATACAAGACAACTGGAAATTTACTGTGGGAAGAGTCAGAGTTTCTTGAGGTGTGAGGGAGGGTTAAGCCCCCCATCCCAATGAACAACTCTAGGTCTGTTTCTACTTAGACCTTCTCTACTCTTCCACAAAGCAAAACGAGCCAACCTGTTGTCAAATTTCGCAAGAAGCAAAAGTTCACTCTGTTGAAGACTGTCAAAGTCACCACAAATGAACTCTACGCTTACAAACACAGTTCTATTTAGAGATAATCTTCACAATGATAATGGGTTAGAAAATTTTTTTAAGGGCAAACCAAATTCAACACAGTTAGCAAGAACCTCCTGAAAAACAAACCTGTTTGCTGAAACGTTTCAAGCACTGATTACAAAGTTCGGCACTAAGAATCATTTTCTTCAAATGCAAAAGCATCAGATACTACAGACACATCAACCTCCTTTTGAGACCTGCTGCATCTCCAAGATGAACTGAGTATACGTGAGCACGTTGGCTGCATCCGATGGCACATGCTCCCAGCATCACACAGACAAGTTGGAAAAATGCACCTCAGCGAAGTTTCATTTTAAAATATGAGAAAAATGCATAAAGAGGAGACTAGATTTTCTGCCTCGCTGTTTTAGAATGCATTTACAGATCATAATGCAATATGCTATACTTGCCTCATCACAGCAAAAGCTGTGTGGCAAGGGAATCACACCTCTAGCTGGTTCACAAGCAGTAAGTAATTAAATGACTGTATGAGCTAAAAGATTCCGTCATGTGAACTACATATGACAATAACTGAAGTACAATTGCTTCTAACATGCTCGTACATTGATAGTATTGCTCATCACAACGAGATTTCAGCGTACAAAGTCAAAGTAAATTTTAAAGGGTACTTTAAAGTTTTCCCATGATGATGGATGCCCCCTTCTCATTTCCATCTGTTGAGGATTTTCCATGCCAAAAGCGAGCCAAGTCCATTGGGCCCATACCTTACTCCTGCAGCTCTAATTTCTACATCAAAGCTCAGCATGGACTGTTACTGCCTCAAAATGCAACATATAGGAAAACTTCCAGCTAGTTTCTTACTTTCGTAGAAGTCTACAAGGATTCCAGCAGGAA